AGTCCCTTTTTGTGTATTTATATGTCCCCTTTATGTTGTCGTCTCTTTCGGTACGGCCACAGGATGTGTAATAAAGCACTAACTATTTGCAGGAAATAACTTACTTGAACTATTGCACAGAGAGAGTAGTTTCTTTTTATTATTTTGTATTATCATGATATTGACAGTAGTGTTGGTTAGTGAGGTGTTGTGCCATGGTTCTGAATTGACTTACAGTACAGTGGAAATGTCATTTAAATAGAGTCACCTTGTACTGTACATAAAACCACTGCATAGTCAGCCTTTGAAGCTTCCATCTTTATACGATTTAGATTCACTCTTACTTATTTGCACTGAAGGCTCCCTACGTAACTTTGTAACTCCTTTACTTTAACCCAGAGGCACTGGTGGCTTGCTGGTTCTCCATTTTGTTCACACAGAACTTAGCCTATGTGTTGCTGCTATTTCGTTTTAAAACCCATCACTTTTTTAAAATGCTCACTTTTATGGTTTGTATGATATTTGGCATGGTGATATAATGCAGTGTCATTCTTGTTTTTCTTTGGCTAGTTTTTTAACAAGTTTGTGAAGAGAAAGGAAGTGAAGAGAAAGTGTGTTGTACAGTATCTGCATGTCATTGAACAACTGTAAATGTTACAGTAGCTTCGTAGCAGAGATGTTTAATAAATGTAAATCAATTTTCTCGGAAAACATTTAAACTAAAACCTGCAAAATGGTGCACTGTGGCTTGATGCGTCACTGTGGCATGAGCTGGACTAAAATAAGTAACAACACACCCTTTTGTTAGATGGCTCAAGTTAACAGGTTGTGCATTGTATTCTTTAGCTTTGTCCTAAAACAGTCAAACCAGGATATTAAACCGGAGAAGAGGATGCTGCTGTAGTTTTATAGAAGTGGCCCTCCTGGTTCCTGGTACTGGTTCTCTGTGTACCTACAGAGGAATGTGTGTGCAGTTCCCCCGCACAAAGAGCAGATGCCCGTGACCACAGGAAGTACGCTGCCCACAGGCATTATGCTTAATGTTAACCCACAATTGGTAGCTCTAGTTAGAAGTGGGGAAATAGTCCAGTTACATGTGAAAAAACTCCAAAACGCTCAGTTAATATCTGTGAAACACCAGTGTTTACTAATCTAACGAGTTACTGGACTATTTCCTCTTTATGTAACAAACTGTGCCCATTCAGTAACCATGAGGAAGTGTTTTTTATTGACTTCCTTACTGTCAAGTGCCATTTAACTCACGGGTCATTTGATATCAAATCATATTTCAGCTGAAAAAAAAAAGAGTTGAATGTGAAGGATAACCTGACATGTAAGTACAAACTACTTTCTAAAAAGACGATATTGATGTGAGAGTCCTGTGCCTTTGAATAGGTTTGCCTTGTTTGATGTTGAATGTGTGAAATGCAACATTGTTTAAATTGCCATTGTATTATATGATATGATATTATATGGAGCTGTCTGATATTGAATAGACCGTGTGCACTTTTGTGTACAGTACCACTACTGAGTAATGCTTGTGATGAGCAGTATTTGACATGTGTCTCATAAGAAACGCGAGACGTACTTCCTTCTAGTCTTGAACCACTTTATTTAACAGCCCCCCCCCCCATCAACTTACGTGTATGCACTCTGGAAATGTAAATGTATGTATGACATTAAGGATAAATCATGAAGTTGATAAAAAAAATATATAGTGTAAAGGGAATTTGCCTGTAATTAAAATAAATGTGGCTATTATTGTACTCTGCTGGAGTTGTGTCTTTTGATTTGTCCTTGACCCCTAAATCTTTTTCCCTAATGTGATATATGTTGTCACTGTCATTCATACATCATTGTATTGTCTTTATTTTCTTAGCTTTTCCATTACCTTCTTGTATTCAATTATCAAACAGATCCTCAGAAGGGCAATTATCTCATCCATTCAGTTCTTAAAGGGGCCCTATTAAGCTCAGTGTCAGGATCATATTTGTATTTTGTGCCTCTACTTTGACAATGTCAGTAGAGGTCCCCACCCCCTCCAGCCTATCAGGTACAATGTGTTGGAGAACTAGCCAATAGAAGCGCACGTGTTACACAGTGATGTCACTATGTTACAGAAGTAAACAAAGGGGTCAAATGGAGGTGTTTGAGGCAGGGGGGGGGGGGTGGAGTGTGTTGGCGAGAAACTCCACAGGGATTTTTAGCCTTTGTAAAGTACAGACCATTTACATGCACAAAAACCTAAAGCATAATATGCTCCTTTAATTGCCTTTTGCCCTTTTTATTTTGTTTCCCTTTAACTTTTTCACTTTGTCGATTTCTCGTCATACTTTATTATTTTACTTGAGAGAGATTTCAATATTAACCTCCAGTCTTAAATGGTGGTGGAGAAGGAGATTAAGGGGACCATAGAGACTGAAAATGATGAAACTGTAATGCAAGAAAGCAGGTCACCAGATCCATAGAACACAGAGTGTTTGGCAGTATCTGCGGAGCCATTGGCATGTATGTTCTGTATGTTCTGTAGGCGAGGGTATATGTATGGTATTTATGTCACACTCAGGCAGGGGGAAGTGGGGAAAGCTTGACGACCTACTTCTATCATCTCCTTGGTAACAGTTTCTTGGAAATAACCGTAAAACGAATTACAACACCTTAATGGCTAATTCACTAGTCACTAATTGTTAGTGTTTATTTCACCCTCATATAAACCCTAATGTCTGTCGATGCAAGACCTTTTTTATTATAACTAAACAAGTGAGAATACAGTGTGTTGACATGCATGTACATGTGTGTGGACATGTTTGTGTTATCCATCCTGTCTGTAAAAAGTCAAAGTCATTTAGAAAAAATCCACTTGAGCTTGAGCTATATTGGCCATTTTCAGGTTCACATGTTTTCATGTTTTAATGTTCAAAAGGTCTTTATTTTTCTCATACTGCCTGTGCTCTGATTGGTTAGCTGACAGGCTCTGTTGTGCGCACACCCACACACACACGCACGCACGCACGCACACACACACACACACACACACACACACACACACAGTATGCCTGCTGCCATTAGTTTGCTTCGATCAATGGTTTTTAATCCTTGACATATTTTTAAACATGTGAATAGTCAACATGTTCTTGTTGTGTTCTTTTATCACATTGTATTTTTCTTTGTAGAAGCATAATCTGTCCTCATAGCTTGCCTCTATGTGCCTTAGATTGTGTAAAATACATGTACGTATATGCGTCTGCTGCTGGTGTGTGTTTGTATTTTCCAGACAACATAAACACTTTCTCAGTCTCTGCTCCCCAGCTGAATCCCAACAGGCAACAGGAGATAAGACAAGCCAGGTCGCCCATAACAACCACTGTGACCACTCAGAGACCTCCGTGCATAACCGCAACTAGGAAGTGAGCTAATTAACCCGGAGTTCAAGACGGAAGGAGAGCGACTTTTTAATAAGATTCTCCTGGTTATATAAACAAACTCCAAGGAATATTATCACCCCGCGTCTGTCCATCTGCTGCAGGGAAGAGGAGGAGGAGGAGGAGGAGGAGGAGGAGGAGGAGGAGGAGGAGGAAGAAGAACTGCGCTTTAATGAGGTACACCAGGACAGCAGAAGAGGAGAGGACCACAGGGTGCTGCCTGAAAGGTACATTAAGCAAACACATACACACACAGACAGACATGTACATGCACAAAGACATATTATCAGATTTGATGTAGTACTTCCTGAAAGGATCTTCACTGACTACTTTCATTCATTTCATTCCTTCTCCACTTTGCCCTAAATATTCTAATGTAAACCTAATCCTGTCCTAATCCTAAACCCGAGACATAACCCAGAAGTAATGCTAACATTAAACCTCACCTAATCTATTCTGGGTCAAATGTTGATTGTTATTACAGCATTATCATTAAACCATGTCAGAAAACCCTAGAATTGTAGCTGGATGAGGAAAAGCACAGTGTTCTTTCTTTCTAGGACTAGTGTCCCAATTGTTACTAGACAATTTAGTCTTAATGAGCACAAAAGAGGAAAGAGCTTGCACATTATTTTATTATTTTTTATTGATCTTTTATGGCTCCAGAGGTAGTTTGTTTGTCAGAAAAATTAACCCAGATGAGGTCATCAGGGTTATTTTGGGTTGGCATAACAACTGCTTATTAACTAATTAGGAGTGTTGAGTTTCAAATATGCAGCATTTGACCTTGCAGGGACTGTCTATTATCTAAGAGACTTTAAGTTAAGATAGCTCTGTCTCTGCTGCATGTGTGACTTGTGAGAGAAAGATTTAATAACTTTATTCTCCATGACTAAATTGCTAGCAAGTCCACTTTATTCACATCCAATCTGCAGTTTTTAATATTTACTCTGTCCATCCTGACAATGACTCACAAAGCAAAAGTTATATTTAAATAAGAATGGGTCAAATAGGTCACAGAATATTTGTAAAAGAAATACAAAATAGAAAAAACAACTTCAACCTTAGAGCCTACTGTAACTCGAGGCTGAATGGCTGTATTTCATTGAAAGCTCTTCTGGAACATCACTACAATAAGTCTGATATTACACGACGTGATGCCATGGATAGAAATAGAATAAAGTGCAATGAAGTCAGTACTGTGCCTCAGTCAGACACAGAGTAGCGGCTAGCCTCTATGAGAAACAGAGGAGCATTACTGTGACTCTACAAAGGGAGGAGGGGGAAGCAGTGTTTGTCTTTTTATCAGCGCATGGCGGCTACAGTAGTCAGCTGTTAGGATAGCAAAAGCAGGGAGGAGCTGGCCGGGACTTGTTCTGCTGGATGACTCACTCTGTCAACCAGAGCCACACTCATTCACTCGTTTGCGCACATTCGCACACACATTAACGCGCAGACACGTTTGGCGGGGGGCGTGCTGCAGCAGTTGAAAAGGGGTTCCTAATCAAAGCGCACCAGGGCCGTTCATTCTCCACTGGAGGGCGAGTGGTACAAGAGCACCGGGACACTCCGGCGGCACGGAGACAGAGCAGACAGGCGCAGGGAGACACAGACAGGCAGCCACACACACAGAACATCCCGACCCGGACTGCAAAGCATCTTTTCTTTCCACCGTCGGATTAAACCCGTCCCCAACACCGAATCACGTAAGAAACAAACAGTCAGTTGTCTCTCATAACGAAATATATAGAGTAACCGTACTGTTATACACTGGCCATACTGTTTAGGTGCTTGACGGATGCAGGACCTTTTTTTCATTTGAACTCCATCACGCTAGCTTTCAGAGGCTCGCTGCAAGTCCTGCTCTCATCATTCAGACATCCTCTCCATGCTCGCTGTCTCTGTCACACACACAGCTGGAGACAGTAGCTGTTTTCGCTAGCTAGCTAGCCAGACGCATTCAATGGACCTTTTAGCAATTTGATATCGAATTTACTGTCGCTTTACCCGGCACTGTGGCTTCTCTTGCAGGTAAATACGATACAGCAGAGAGCCGCCGCGGCTTGGTAACTTTGTGACGGCAGGGTTATTGATGTTTCCGATGGCTGGGAGGCTAGCCAGTGCAGCTAGCTCTAGCGGGACACATCAGAAACAACCGGCCGATAACAGGCACACTGCACACTGCACAGGGGCCATAAAAGTCAACGGTCTAACCGACACAGCCTGGCTTTTATGTCTTTATAAGTGTTTGTACACTTTGGCTTGCTGCACTGTAGTATTAGCATATTATTACCTGTCAAATAATCTCGATAAAATGTTAATTAAATCTGTTTAAGTGGTGCATTCAATTCAAATACTGCTATTCCCAGTCGTGTAGGCAGCCAAGTGAATCTGTGAGCTGCAGCTGCCATACATCCTAGACAGCAAGGTGTCAATGCTTCACTGTCAGAACCAGAAAGTCCTAGTTCTTACAGAAACCTCTATTTTGTCTATTTGAAGTCTTTCTTCAATGGCATCAATCTTCAGCCAAGAAGTTATAACAATATTTTTTTTTTTCATAGTTTTCAGTGAATGCAGTCCATTTGCCTAAAGTAAATGAGTGAAAAATATGTTAGATTTTGGTGATCACACCAAGGTTATTTTTTTGGAACTTCTCATCCATTTTATTTTTATTGGTGAAGAATTCTTTGAAACTGGCACAGATGACAGGTTTCTATTTTCAAAACCTGTTTTATCACACACACCCAGAAGGTACAGTGTTATTTGTTCAGGAATAAACTATGGGTAATTCGGTTAGCTTATTTGCAGAGCAAATAGCCCATGGTGTATGATTTTGTTAAAGGTTTTGCTTGTCTTGGCAGCTTTCAAAAGGAATTGATCAATTTGTGTTGCCTTAACACGCTTGTACGGCTATTCCACCTGTTCCCAAATACATTGAGGGACGTATTTGCAAAGGAACCCTATTTCCTTCCTGTAAAAGCAGCACAGGTGTTTTCCAGTTTATCTTAATGTTGTTTGGCCACCATATCTAATCTCAACAGGCTTTTTGTCAGGGACCGCAGTGTGTGTTATTGTTTATAAATGTAAAAAATACAGAAGCTTGTCCCCCACCCTTGCCTCCAAAGTGTGTCCTCTGCTGCCCGTTAAAGATCACAACTATTATGCAAAGGAAAAACCAATTCTGCTCTGACTTATTGACATTGCTGTTTAAATGCTTCACTGGTGATTACCGAGGCAAACAGTGCCCTCCCACATACAGTACAGTAACAATCCCTTACCTGTGGCTTAAACCCGGACCCTGAAGCATTTTGATGAATAGCGCTGGCTTAAGAAGCTTAAAGGCTAACTGAGGTGTGCAGGTGTTTTTATAATTGTCTTTTTTCAGGGCAGATGACATTGTAAATGCTGTATCTTCGGTGCTCTCAGTGTTCAGTGCCTTTGATGGAATAATAACGGGCTGCAGAACAGTCAGTGCTATCCTTCTGTATGTTTATTTGGTAATAAGAGGGCTACAATTATAAGGGCCTTAATTATAATCCCTGCTATTTGTAAAAAATGGCATACTATAATCATGATTATCAAGCTATTAGTTTAGATGATTTTAAGGGAAATAGATAACTGCTAGATTTTGCAAGCTATGACTAGCACGCTTTTGAGAGTTTTCATGGCTTTTTTTAATTTTTATACCTGTGTAGAGAGAGGAAGCTAAATATTACCCTCAATCTTGCCGGTCCCAATATGTCAGTTGCATACTCTTTGGGCTTGTTTGCCATTTTGCTCTTAGCCTAATGAAATAACCTGTTCTTGTCAGGCCTCAAGTGAATAGCATGTACGTGTACTCTGTGCAATGCGGGCAGTGAGGATGAGATTGAATTTGCTGTTCAGAATTGGATAAATTGAAAGAAAATTGCTGTATCTTGTCCAACGTCTCTGTGCATTTTGCAAGACATATCTTTTTTTTTTCTTTGAGTCACAGAGAGGGGAGACACGAAACTAGATTTCGACGTTTGGATTAAATGACACTGTTATGGAGAAGGAGGAAGGTACAACAACATCCTGTTTGGCACACACATGCCAAGCCTAGCATTTATTACAGATTTAGGGTTTAAAAATGTGACTATAGTCTATAGATACAGCATGAGGCACACATTGACGAGTCTTATCTTTTCGATCTTTGTGTCTCTTAGAGTTTAAGGTTTTTATTTTTGTTTATTACACAGTTGAGCATTAGCCAGCTTCGTATTAAACTATACAAAGTTGTAGGTTTATTCTAGAGAGGTTATGCCTGCAATCCATCCCCTTACCTGCAATTTTACTGTACACCTCAACTGCTTGATTTTGTTCTGAGGGCTGGTTTGCTCTCTTGCTCGTTTCCTTATTTAAAAAACATTTAGCACTTTTTTATTCTTATAATTAGGAGGATTTGTTCTTGATTAGCTCGAGTGTCTCCAGTTTGGTAGCATGGTAGGCCTGCACCATGAATAGAATTTTTTTTTCAGAATTGCAAAATGAACTGGTGCAATATTCAAAGGAAGCACAATATTGGTTTGGCTAACTATGTGTTAAATTACCATATTGATGCAGTATTGTAGAGCTGTAGAAATATCCAAGCCTACAAAAAGTATTCTACAGACTTCACTGAAGATATTTGTTTGTTTGGTACATTTGTTTGTTTGGATCCTCTTAAAAAAAAAACAGACCATGATCATATATAAATATATATATATATATATATATATATTTTATTGGTATTGAGAATAATAATAGGAAAATTAACAATTCCTCCAATATCGTAAGTCATATTGCAAAATATCGTGCAGTTCTAGTAAGCATACTTTATTTTTCACGGGGGATTGGGTTTCGTGGCGGTTGCTCCGTTATGGAATTAAAAAACAAACAAATATAAATTAAAATACTTAAAAAAAAATTGTTTTATGGCTTAATAAATCTATCCCTTTGTTTAGATGAGGTTATCATGGATCACAGAGCAGATTCTTCTTTACAAAGCTCGACAGTCACTTGTGGATGTCTGAAGGCCTCACAGAGAGCTATATTAAAGTGGACCTATCATGCTATATTTGAATAATATAGTGTAGGACCATACCTATATAAGGCATATTTATACTTTTTTTTTTTCAAAATACCAAACAGATCATGCATTTTAGCCATGCCTCATTTCGCTCAATTTGAAAAATGTTAGCTCTGTTTTTGCAAGGGTTGATTCAGTGAGCAACAGCACCATCTAGAGGCCTGGCATATGTACTACAGCGTCTCCAGCGCTTTCGAACGGCAATGCCGTGGTTGTCTCCTCCTGATTGGTGGAGTTGGCCCAATAGCCGTAGCGCCACCGTCCTGACGTCAGGACAGTGTTCAAATCTGGATCAGTTTTTATCAGATCCGTTGCAGCCCCTTTTTTAGAGATTTAGGTATGGAGGAAAATCGAGAGGGTTGTGTTTTCTGACACTTGGTGAGTTCCCTGGAACACCGGGGACACATATTCATGTATAAAAGACGTACAAAAGTGCATTTTGCATGATAGGTCCCCTTTAATGTAGACGTCCAGACAGACACCGATTGACAGGCCTAGTGTTGCGAAGTATGTCAAAAACATGTTGAACCACAGCCCTCCCCATGTCTGCCCTATTGTTAAAGTCTGAAATCTAGGGCTGTTGTTAAGCTGTTAGTCGATATTGTGATTTACTTGATGTTTTCCTTGGCAGGGGAGCAGTGGGATGTGGTATGTGCTCGCCTCTCTGTGTGGTTCCTACTGTACAGCAGAGGTTCAGACCTCCAGCCAAATAAGTCCAGATTCAAGCCTCTGTGATTTATGAAATGTTCTCCCCTTCTTACTGTATGTCCTTTTTTGTCTCTGTAGGCCAAGACATGAGCTTCTCCCACTGAGCGTTATTGATGCTGAACTGGTGAGTTGTTGTGGTTAACTGCCTGTCACTCCAGCAAATAACAACACTTTTAAACTTGTTATGGGTTACTTTTATTCAATCCCAGTTACTGTCTCATAGCACCGCTGGCTACCATCTGTTAGCGATTTGATAAAAAAAATATGTTCCCAGAATTAAGTATAGAACAGGATACCTCTTCAATATGAGTTTTTTCTTCCGCTGCATCCGGTTCATGATTGCATATTAATTACTTTAAGGTAATATATTAAAGTGTATGCTGTACAAAACATATGTCTTCCGCCTGCCTGTAGCTCTACCTGATACATTATGTAATGATGTCTCAGTGTGTTTCTGGATACACAAAATAACAAAGGGAAACCAAAAAACAACACATATCTAGGATTTCCCTTCCATTTTATATTTTTAGCTCTCCAGCTCTTATTTTGCCTCTCGTCGCTGAGGTCTTATCAGTGAATATAGGTTGCCTTTTCCTTCAAAGTGTTCAACACTGCAAACAAGTTGCATCGAGAGCTGGAAACGACTGACACTTTATTGGATTTGTGCTGAATGATGAAAGCAAGAGGAGCAATTTTTCCCCGTATCTTTCACACAAGACTGATGTGCAGCGTTCTCCGATCCACAGCCATCACTCATTGATAAGCAGGCCGCATGGCTGCTGCTGCGGCTATACGCTCCCTAATACCAAGCTACAAACTGTAATGGGACTGAGAGGTGATTGCTCTCGATAAAATGTTGTGTATTAATAATGTAATGTGTAGTCTGTTGGCTGGGTCCAATTCATGTTCAAATGCTTTAAGCTTCACTTTTATAGGAAGAGAGAAGTTTACTCTTTCATTATCCCAAATTCTATTTGCTTCATTGCAAGTATGCTGTAAGTACTTTAATATATGACATACAACGATGAATAGAACATTCTTTAAAAATACTGTTGTAGGGAAGATATTGTTCTAAAAAAACAGAAGATGGCTTGAATCCAACAAGTGACCAACTTTCCATTTTTAAACAGTAACATGACACTATTTCTATATCAGGGAGAACATCAGTGCGATGGCAAAAATAAAGCACTTAAGAAGCTTTATAAGGGCCCTATTATGTAGTATCTAGTATTGTGCCTTTACTGTGTCCTCTTTAGATGCCTTAATGTTCAAACAGCTCTTTATTTTCCTCATACTGCCTGTGCTGCAGCACCTCTTTTCACCCTCTGTCTGAAACCAGAGCCCAGTCTGCTCTGATTGGTTAGCTGGCTGGCTCTGTTGTGCTTGGTCAACCACTTGGAGATGACCCGCCCCTTAGCCTATCACATACAATGTGTTGGAGAACTAGCCAATAGAAGCGTGGGTAATACATAGCGTTGTCACTGTGTTACAGAAGCAAACAAAAGAGTTGAATCGAAACGTTTCAGGTAGTGTGTGTATGTTGGAGAGAAACTCCCTCTGGAAGGAACATTGGGATTTAAGCCTTTGCAAATATATATATAAATACACCTATATATAAAACAAAGCAGTGTGTAGAGACAGATTTCACACATTGTCGTAAATACAGTATTCATCTGAGATTATCCTGCTGAAGAGCACGGTTATTTCCTTGCTACTTCCATAGATACATGGCCACATAGATAACTCAACAGCTCTTTAAGAAAAATCCAGTAGTATTTATGCCTATCAACAGTTAAATTCATTGTAGGCAATATCATAAGTTATTCCCCTAATATATTTTTAGTACAACGTCTTTCTCTTCTCTCCGTAATTGTATTTATTTGTGCTTATTTTTGTCTTTCACTGCCTTCTCTTAATTCCCACATTCCACAGGACACGTAGCTCACATCTGTTTGTAAATATCAGATATTTGTATGCCTTTCCACATTAATAGGTCATTGGTCATGACGAGCCTTTGATCATCGGCTCTTCTCCCTTTGGGATTTGTAAAACATTATATAACTTGGCACAGTTTTGTAGTGGTTCTAGGCCTAGGACCAATTCAGTACAAGAGGCAGTGACCGTAACACTTGCTTGCTATTTTCCATGTGGTCCTAATGTGGCTGCATGTTACTGTAGCAAAGATATGACCAACGGAAACAGAGTTCCCCTCTTCGTAGTCTATAGAGAACCGCAGTGACGCGTCCTAAAACCCGGAAGTAAATTTCTTCCGGTTCTGTCTCTTAAATGTGTGTCAACCACAGACCTTATTTCAAGCTATTTTCCAAAATCCTATGGAGAAATTGCATTGCATTTTTGTCGAAGGAACCGGAAGAAGTTTACTTCCGGGTTTTAGGACGCGTCACTGCGGTTCTCTATGAGGGATAACATGGCTCGCAACAGACACGGTTCATGTTTCTGAGCCTTTTGGTCACGGTTCCGTTTATCCCGACATGTATGTGGTACATAAATACTTAAGAACAGCAGGCTCATCCAGTTATAGATTCAATGGTACCACAAAGGAATCACCTTAATCAGATTTTCAAACGATGAAAACATTTGCTATTACTGGCAGCAGCAGTCATGCATGAACCCTGCCAGTAACAGCAGCAGAGTCAACATACCGACATTATTTCCTGTTGCGACTGTTTGCATGGATCCAGCACCCTGAAACACTGTCCTAACCTCAGCGGCAGTTTCAGACCTTGACATTCATTGAAAAGATAGAAGTGACAGTCACTCGAGGCAGCATCCAGGCAGAGGAGGTGTCCCTTTCAAAGGAACTGCGTCTTTACATGCATTGCAATGTTATTGAACCTTCGAAAATGGAAAAACCAGAGCACTTTCATGTTCATTTAAATGTGCGGAACAGCTTGTTTTAAAATATAAAAAGTCAGAGGAAGAAGGGAAAGTTTTGAAACATTGTACCATTTCTGATTTGGGTTTTGGAACAATCCAAGATTCCAAACTTCAAAATGTCTCCCTACGCCTTAGTAACTCTAGTGGGTCTGATCTAGGCGTAGCTTAATGTTTTGTAGTCAACAAATAAATTAATCGTTATGCATTATACTTGAAACCCTTAATCATTGTGGATGCAAAGTATCAAACTTATTTTAATTCAACCACCCCTCTATCATTATCGGCTTCAAATAAAACACAGCTGATCCTAACCTGACCTCAACCCTAACCGCTCCAGATGATGTAGTATTCATTTGACTGTGTTTGCTGCTTAAAGAAAGAGAGAGATCAGTGATGAGAGAGTGTCTTCACAGCAAGGGTAAGTGTGGCTGTAGGGGAACTATAATGACGGGATATTCTCTCCAGACTCTGAGCCAGCAGAGAGATGGAGGGAAAGAGAGGTGGAGAGCAAAAAGCAAAGCAGACAGAAAGAGAGAGAGCCGCTTACTTTCACACCAACAGATGGTATCCGCCATCACCAAGTCAATATTTACAGTTTTCTAACAAAACATTGGCAGCATTAGTTGGGGTGATTCAGTAGCAGGCAGCAGGAGAGAGTCCTGGTTTGTGTGAAAGACTCTTGGAAGAGTAAAAGCAACACTTCAGTGGTAATAATTGTTGCGTGTGGCTCTCAAAATACATCGCAGAGAGCTTTCAGCCACCCCTACACTCTTGGTTTCTTCTCCTTCTCCTTTTTTAAATGCACACACACTCGCAGTGTGCACACTCGCTTTACCCATGGCTCAATCCACTGTGGGGATACAAGTGAACGCAATTTGCACTTCCAATTAAACTGTCGACCTCTGCTCCAGAATGCAAAACTTGATTTTGTAACATCCTCTCCTGGATAGCTATTATTACCCAGTCAGCCCAGTAATGGATGGAATAAGGGCTGCACGATACACTGAAGATCATTGAAGTCAGCAAAAATATTTAGTATATTTATTACACTCGAAGTATTTATTTAGAGAAACTAAGAAACCTTCAGAGACACTTAACTATTCATTTCTTTTTGTGTCTTCTAATTATTGAGTTATTTGACTGTATGGCCTAAAGAGAACACATTTTAAACCTATTCTGATAAAAATATATATTTGACTTGGAGCAGGTGGTAGGTTTGGCTCCAAAAAGAGTTAAAATAATCTGAAAATCAATGCTGTTTTAAGCCATACTTATAAAACCAATAAGCTACAAATGTGTCAAAATCGAAAAATATATCAACAACTGCCACTTGTTAAAATGGGTTCAGCTTATTCACATTAAGATAGAGCAGCATGAGAACAAATCATAGCTGAATATATTAGGCTAGTGTTAGCCTAAAGCATGCTGCTGTGCCTCTAACACATGACTCACTGATCAGATCAGATGACTACTGTAGATAAACAACAGGAATTTGACTTCTCTTTTTTTACAGCGCTGCTCTTATCCATTCCAGAGAAAGATGATGCGTGTGTTGTATGTGCATTAAGACCATCTTTAACCAGATAACATGTCAACACAATGATGTAACATTTAGCAGCTGATCTTATCCCTTATCCTGCTCAGTTTAGTTGAAATTCAGAGTACAGAGCACGGGCCAATTGAATATATTTTATTATTGACTTGCATAATCTATGAGAGAATGCTTATGCTAATATGCCAGAGTGGAACACTATAACGTTTTTAATATGGGCCTAATTTACGTCTTTATTTGTCTTGTGTTTTGAAAGACTTAAAGGTAGGGTAAGTAAGAATGGAGAAACCAGCTTGAGTGCGCTAGAATTTGAAAGTACACAACCGGAAAAAATCTGCCCCTTCCTTCAGACTTCCTTACAGAGCCCCTCCTCCAACACACACGAACGCGCACATGACCAATGAGGGCACAAGATAAGTTTGTGCACAGATGGAAAGCTGACAGGCCATCCAGTTATTTTAGCCGGGCCGGTTCAGATGATTGGTCGTGCTTTTTACAGCGCCACGGCTTCCACAGGTGACATTTGTTTATGTATTTATTGTCAAAGCATTTAATATATTCATTGCTATCGGGATGTTAAGAGCATTCCATGGAATATAACAACAAGTGTTTCTGAAATAAATTACATACCCCACCTTTAAGTGGCTTTTAATAGCATTTATTGTTGACAATTT